TTGGCAACAATGTAAATTTTTCAACACACCCACCTTGATGACGTGCACGCCACTTTGTTTGGCGTTGACTATACGTCTGTTTTATCATCTCCCCGGCTTCATAATGTTTTTTCTTTTGTGTAATTATCTGGGACACCCGGTATGACGCTTCAGTTGCAGCCTTACTGTTGTCGATTGTTTTTAAAAACATTGTCTGTTGTCCAATAAGTGATTTTGTAATTGTTTCAGTTTTTCCGTTCTCGTTGCAGAAGGTAATGGGAATGATTTTTCAAAATACGCATGTTCTGTTTTATAGCGTCTCTCGATATTCCCTTTTTTAGCAACGGAAACATATGTTATACATTTTACCTTTAACTTCTGTAAATAAATATTGTTCTTCCCATCCCGAATGGAAATGGTATGTCTTCATCTTCTTAGTACTGCTCATAACTTTTTAAATTGCACGCCAACTCTAACCCAACCGCCGGACTGTAGCCGCGCCTTGCGTATTTATTCCGTTCAACGTAATCGAGATCGTTCTCGAACAGATCGCTCACCGCAGTGTTGTCGCAGCTTGTGTTTACTATGCGAATTTTGAAAATTTACGGAAGCTTCTATGATTGTTACACCTTTTTGAGATATGTTATGAGCCACCAGAATTGCCTTTGCGAACTACTGTTAGCTCGCGATCGACGCTGCCTTAATTGATGATCGACAATTTTTGCTAGGGTTCCAGTTTCAACTCATGTTCAAATCAGAGTTACGCTTGACGCTTAACGTTACAAAATGAATGCCACGAGGTTTTATAAAATAACTTTTGGTCATTTTATATTTTTACTTCCCACGCCTTTTGGCGATTGATCGTGCAGGAAAAGAGGTAATTGATATGTAAGAGGAACTATGTCGGAGCCAATACCGATCCCTGGGGAACATCCGCGTTGACGTTGTGGGATGAAGAGGAGAATACGTCAATTCTCAGAGAGAAAGTCAGTCGGTCCTTGGTTTGGTGATTCGCTTATAGATGGCTCGACTTTCTGTCAAGGTACCGCGTGTTTCCTTTTGTATTTTCCAAGGCGGTGTTGCCAGATTGACAAATAATGTTTAAATAATGCTACATTGATACTGAGCTGAATGGAATTCAGTTCATTTCACTGTTTCTATTTTGATAATATACCTGTATAGTAGAAAACACCAACTTTATTACTCCCTAATCAAATTTGCAGCATAAAAATAACTCATGTTGCAATTACAGCATATCAACCTATTTTCATTTCAATGCAAAATAAGTCTATAACGCATAGGTGGTTATATATATAATAAAAGCCATGTCAATTGCTTTTATTAATCACAGCTGTCACAATACGTTTAAAATAGTTTTGGGTAGTTAAGGTTAAACTCGGAAAATTGTACTAGAAGGCACGGGAAATATAGTCTATCTACTTGACGCCATTTTCCAAGACAACATGGGGTCCGATTCTGACCGCTTTTTTCTCTACTATACACCACTTGAGGCCTATTTAACTTCCCGTCGATATGTTTAGTTTCTGCGACTATCGCAATATTTATCTTTGCTATTATTTATCTTGGTCGTATTTACTCATTCTGCTCACTCGCAGCCGACTTTGAAAGTCCTGTCTATCCATCAACTAGCTCTAAACAAATAGCGAACGTTAGCAAAGTTACAGCGTGACACCGCTCCGACGGACATGATGAATAACAATTCCGAGAAGAGAATATCTCCACATCGTAAAAATTCTAGTTGCTGCTGTAGGTTATTTGTCAACAGACTTCTCCGAAGGGGTCTTTTGCTGCTAAGAGACCACACTAGTTGATAGCAGGCGGATGCGTCTCGATACAGGGTGATCAAAAAATAAGTATTTCAAAAGCTGAAGGCACCTCAAAGGATATACAGGGTCTCTGCGAAATGTTGGGAAATCTCGAAATTGGAGATACTACAGACCAAAATATGTGAATTGACCTAAACATACCTCAGTCCAAAAGTTGATAGTTTGCGAGATACCGGGTGTGTACAATTTTATTTTCTATTTTTCCTTATTGCTTGTATACTAAGTGACATATAAATCCGAACACCCAGTTTAAATGGTTTTATTTTAATAAAAGTTGGTGAATGTATTTATCTTACTGTAAATAACAAGTGAAAAAATTTTCAGCCTTATCAGTTGGACATTCCGGTTTTTATAATGCTTTTTTTTTAATTCACCAACGCTCTAAAAATGAATATTTCAGCCGCAGTAAAGAATCAACGTTGGCGGATTTTGGTTCTTGACATCCTTTACGATCGGTTACGATGCCTAGAGTACGGAGACCTGTACGATTTCGTCAACTTAGTGAGTTTGATAGGGGCCGTATAGTGGGACTTCGGGAAGCTGGACTTTCTTTTCGGGCAATTGCAGTTAGAGTGCAAAGAAGTGTAGACACGGTGGTTAGGTGTTGTCAGGCATGGCTCCCAGAAGGCCGTACGCAAAGAGCAAGGGGCACTGGACGCCGCCGTAGAACAACAGACCGTGAAGATCGCCGCCTAAGATTATTGGCCCTAAGGGGCCGTTTCTCCACTACCAGGTCCATTGCAAATGAATGTTTTGCAGAACACGGAAGACCTATTGGCATGCGAAGTGTTTACCGACGAATGAGAAGTTTTGGCTTGTTTTCATACCGGCCACACTGGGTCCTCTCTTTAACTCGAGAACACCGACGTAATCGCCTTGAGTGGTGCAGACAACGGTCACTCTGGGATCAGGAAGGAACAGTATTGTCTTTAGTGACGAGTCTCGATTTGGTTTAGGCATGCACGATGGTCGTGCCAGGGTTAGAAGGCGACGTGGTGAAAGGAGGAATCCACAGTTTTTTGTTGAAAGACATGTTCATCACACTGTTGGAGTTATGGTTTGGGGTGCTATAGCTTATGGTTCCATCTTCATCAGAGGTAACATGAACGCGCAGCGTTATATCCACGAAGTTCTAGAACCCCATCTTTTACCCTATCTTGACACCCTGGCAGATCCAACTTTCCAACAAGATAATGCCCGACCACATGTTGCAAGAGTCACAATAGACTTCTTTCAACATAATGATGTCACATTGTTACCATGGCCACCAAGATATCCCGACTTATCCCCAATTGAGCACGTGTGGGATATGATGGGTAGGAGATTGCTCAATTTGCAACGTCCTCCTCAGACTCTAGAAGCATTTCGAGAGGAGTTGGTGGTTGCCTGGAATGAGATACCACAGGAGGACATTGACCACCCGATCAGAAGCATGCCTAGGCGCGTTGGAGAATGCGTAGCACATCAGGGTGCATCCACACATTATTAAAGGTCAAAGGGCTTTAAAGCAGTGCAATCATTTTGAAATTTTTATCATTTACTTATTATGCTTCATTGAGTACTTATACAAAATTTTATTAAAATAAAACCATTTAAACTGGGTGTTCGGATTTATATGTCACTTAGTATATTTCAGATTTTGGCACAAAACTCGGTATAGGGAGGTTTTCTAGTCTGGGCAGGACTTGTTTTCTTCTTTTAAAAACATTATTTTTTCTGAGAAAATTCCAATATCGAAAATGGTGATTATCACGCTCCAGCTATGGTGGGTCTCGTGGGGTTATGTCGTAAAGATAAAAATTGTGAACAAGATTGGAGCTCAAGCGTTACAAAGAAGATCATTCAATTGACTGTCAATACGAGAAACTACTTCTTCACACTGAAGTCCGATGGTTCCAAAATTATCAAAGTAGCTCAACACACTGAAAAGGTTAGCGACCACTGAATTAAGGCGTTTTCTTATACAGGGTTTCTCAAAAAAAGTGTGTAATATTCTACTAGCGGTTTCTAGAGTTTAAAATAGGAAGAAAAGTTTATATAAACATAGGTCGATAAACGTCCCCTAAGGGCGCTACGGTCTTTTAAAGGGGTTCCCCTGAAGATGGTTTTTCCTTAATATTTCCGAAACGTGTAGAGATACAGACATAAAATTTGGTATTCTAGACTAGTTTTTTATGCTGGATTTAAAATTTACACAGTTTTGTTTGGAAGCGTCTGTAACAGGGACGGACTCAAGTTATTTTAGCCCCAAAATCTTTGTGTGATTCCAAACAAAACTGTCTAAAATTGTTAATATTTTCAAATCCAGCATAAAAAACTAGGCTAGAATTCCAAATTTTATGTGTTTATCTCAACACGTTTCGGAAATACCCTATTTTGAGCTCTAGAAACCGCTGGTAGAATATTGCACACTTTTTTCGGGACACCCTGTATAGACGGCTGCATCCGTATAAAAAGAAACTTAAGTTGGATATAACTTGCAGAGGGTCAGTTTTTATGTGAATCGAGGAATCATAGGAAATTAGGCCTAAGTCATTTTTACCTAATCCAAATGGACAGGTTTTGAGACCAAAAAAATACATCTAGTACCAAAAAGCTTCCAGATTGTCTCTGATTCCTCCATTCATTAATCAAGTTAAGTGTATTTCTCTTATCTATTTACGACAATTTGTGATAAGGATATTAATATTTTATCAATCAATTCTACTTTATAGATACCGAAGTACCAGGAATAATTGGCTGTTAATTTGAATACAAATACTTTTACGCAAAATATTTACATAATATATAAATAATTACGATTTCTGACGTCTAATCGGACTATAAAAAAACTGACTGAGGTATAAAATAGTTGAATCGTCAAAAATAACCACCTGAATACCGTTTTTGACAAGTAAGAGTCATAGAAAAACAAACAGATCGCACTTAAAAGATATTCAGAAAAGCAAATGTGAGCTCTACGATTTCTCGGCAATTTTGATTTCTAGGGAGACGTCTTTTCTCTATAGCCGTACAATACAGGGTGATCCATTAAGTGTTTACTAACTTTAGTACAATAAAGTTTATACCTATCTAACGTGATACTTATAATAATAGAATGTACGGCAAAAAATAATAATCAAGGATACCAGATACTTGCCTGTCTTCGCTTCCACACCACAACTACTACTACTTCCTCCACATCACAAATACTTACCGACTTTGCTTGACTATAAATACGCAAAAATAAGATACACTTTGTTTTCAAATACGAACTTACCCAGTCCAAGGTCAGTCCAACACTCTACGATGCTCCAATGTACGCTTTTCGATACTCTATTTTTCATGGCCAAAAGTTGGCACAAGTCACTTGCGCACAAGTTTTTTTCCACCACTACAGACTGGGCGCTTTCGTTCTCGTTGTAGAACGTGATTTCTTCCTGCAAGTAGAAATGAAATATTTATTTATCAATCAAAGTTCAAGAACTTCAACTGTATTCGTCCATCACAACGTGGATAATTCTCTTCTGGGAGAGGTAGAGAAAAAGTCGCTGAGCCTCTTCCAGTCGGCGTGTCCGTAATGTAATTAATAAATAATAAATAAACAGCGTTTATTGCCCAACAGTTAAGAAAACCATTTACAGGACAATCCTAAGATAACTCAAAATAACAAGAACAGAAAACACATAAAAGCAGGTGACTTCAAACAAGAAAAAGAAGCAAAAAACATATGTCACTCAGGTGAGTAACATATCATAAATTATCAAAACAATTTCTAGCTACTTTCAGAATGCTGTTCAAACTGTCAGCACGTATATCACAATAATTTGATATTGCATCGAAAGTTTCACACATCACATATATGGGTGCCTTAAAAACAAATTTGTGCGAGCCCTGTCACATTAAAATGTTTTGGCTGTACGAGTTTGAATAGATGGAACATTAAAGTTTATTTGAGCCACAATCCCATCAGCATCAATTTGATTGTGCAGTAGTTTATAAAAGAATATAATTGATGCACACTTCCTTCTCAGTTCTAAAGACTGCACTTGAAACCTAGACAATAACAAACTTTCAGTGGCAGTTGTAAATAGGATTCCAAGTTAACGATGCATATTCCAATTTCGATCTAATATATGCAGAATACAAAACCAACACTGACTCTGGCCGGTTAAAGTTTCTATAGTTTCTCAAAATAATACAGTACGTACGCCCGCGAAGCTTCTCTCACCTTTTGAGCTATGTGCAGGAAAAATTAAGTTTATGGTCAAAAACTTCACCCAAATCCTTAATTGAGTTATAACGATTTATGTAAGCATCCCCAATTTTACAATTAAATTTACAAGCAGAAGTTTCCCTGGAAAAGCTGACTACACTACACTTAGACGCATTAAGAAATAAATTATTCTCGTCACACCAACCCACAAGAGAAACAATATCACGCTGAAGTGCAATACAATCAGTCTCAGACTCAATAATGCTGAATAATTTGAAATCATCCGCAAAGAGGAGTTTATTACAACTTAAATAATGCACAACATCATCAATAAATAATGTAAACATTAAAGGACCAAGATTTGAACCCTGAGGCACTCCTGATTTAGTTATGTGCTGGTACGACTTGAATCCATTAAAAGTAACATATTGCTTCCTTTTACTTTACTTTTTCGAAATTTGACGATAATTCTAACGATCAGAATCGTTTCCTCAGCTCGTTATCGTTATTTTTCGATAGCCATATAATTTTTACTCGCTTACGTATAGTAGTAATAGGCGAGGACAGAGCCGGAAAACAAAGTGACTTTTTCACGCATCAAAAGTAGCATATAGTCGAGCAATTTTAAAAAATCGAAACTTTCGAACGAAAAGGGATAAAGAAAAAATAAAAGACGCTATCTTTGAGTCCGAAGTCCGGGCTTTCTCATGCAAAAATCGTCAAGTTCGTAGCTCGTCTATCGTCGGAGGAGATCGAAAGTGAACGTCGAACAGCACGAAAATATACCGTTTTTTCGACTTTACCCGTCGTTTTCGATCGAGTTTCTTCCTCCTACCGCGACGGCTCTCGCTCGTCCGTAATGCGCCAAGTTTCTAGTTTCCGAAACGGTATCGCTTTCCTTCCGAACGTTTCGCGAACCCGGAAAAAAAACAGAAAAATTGGAAAGTAGCGCATAGTCAAGGAATTCAAAAAAATCGAAATTTTCGAACGAAAAGGGATAAAGAAAAAAAAGAAAAACGCTATCTTTGAGTCCGACGTCAGGGCTTTTTCACGCAAAAATCGTCAGGTTCGTAGCTCCTTTATCTTCGGAGGAGATCGATGTTGAACGTCGAACAGGACGAAAATCTACCGGTTTTTTCGACTTTACCGGCCATTTTCGAACTGGTTTCTTGCTCTCACCACACCGGCTCTCGCTCCCCCGTAAAGCGCCGAGTTTCTAGTTTCCGAAACGGTATCGCTTTCCTTCCGAACGTTTCGCGAACCCGGAAAAAACCGGAAAAATCGGAAGATAGCGCATAGTCGAGGAATTCAAAAAAAGTCGAAATTTTCGAACGAAAAGGGATACAGAAAAAAAGAAAGACGCTATCTTTGAGTCCGACGTCCGGGCTTTCTCACGCAGAAATCGTCAGGTTCGTAGCTCCTTTATCTTCGGAGGAGATCGATGTACAACGTCGAACAGCACGGAAATCTTACCGTTTTGTCAACTTTACCGGCCATTTTCGATCGCGTTTGTTCCTCCTACCGCACCGGCTCTCGCTCCCCCGTAAAGCGCCGAGTTTCTAGTTTCCTAAACGGTATCGCTTTCCTTCCGAACGTTTCGCGAACCCGGAAAAAAACCGGAAAAATCGGAAGATAGCGCATAGTCGAGGAATTCAAAAAAATCAAAATTTTCGAACGAAAAGGGATAAGGAAAAAAAAGAAAGACGCTATCTTTGAGTCCGACGTCCGGACTTTCTCACGCAAAAATCGTCAGGTTCATAGCTCCTTTATCATCGGAGGAGATCGATGTTGAACGTCGAACAACATGAAAATCTACCGGTTTTTTCGACTTTACCGGCCATTTTCGAACTGTTTTCTTGCTCTCACCGCACCGGCTCTCGCTCCCCCGTAAAGCGCCGAGTTTCTAGTTTCCGCAACGGTATCGCTTTCCTTCCGAACGTATCGCGAACCGGGAAAAAAAACCGGAAAAATCGGAAGATAGCGCATAGTCGAGGAATTCAAAAAAATCAAAATTTTCGAACGAAAAGGGATAAGGAAAAAAAAGAAAGACGCTATCTTTGAGTCCGACGTCCGGACTTTCTCACGCAAAAATCGTCAGGTTCATAGCTCCTTTATCTTCGGAGGAGATCGATGTTGAACGTCGAACAACATGAAAATCTACCGGTTTTTTCGACTTTACCGGCCATTTTCGAACTGTTTTCTTGCTCTCACCGCACCGGCTCTCGCTCCCCCGTAAAGCGCCGAGTTTCTAGTTTCCGCAACGGTATCGCTTTCCTTCCGAACGTATCGCGAACCGGGAAAAAAAACCGGAAAAATCGGAAGATAGCGCATAGTCGAGGAATTCAAAAAAATCAAAATTTTCGAACGAAAAGGGATAAGGAAAAAAAAGAAAGACGCTATCTTTGAGTCCGACGTCCGGACTTTCTCACGCAAAAATCGTCAGGTTCATAGCTCCTTTATCTTCGGAGGAGATCGATGTTGAACGTCGAACAACATGAAAATCTACCGGTTTTTTCGACTTTACCGGCCATTTTCGAACTGTTTTCTTGCTCTCACCGCACCGGCTCTCGCTCCCCCGTAAAGCGCCGAGTTTCTAGTTTCCGCAACGGTATCGCTTTCCTTCCGAACGTATCGCGAACCGGGAAAAAAAACCGGAAAAATCGGAAGATAGCGCATAGTCGAGGAATTCAAAAAAATCAAAATTTTCGAACGAAAAGGGATAAGGAAAAAAAAAGAAAGACGCTATCTTTCAGTCCGACGTCCGGACTTTCTCACGCAAAAATCGTCAGGTTCATAGCTCCTTTATCTTCGGAGGAGATCGATGTTGAACGTCGAACAACATGAAAATCTACCGGTTTTTTCGACTTTACCGGCCATTTTCGAACTGTTTTCTTGCTCTCACCGCACCGGCTCTCGCTCCCCCGTAAAGCGCCGAGTTTCTAGTTTCCGCAACGGTATCGCTTTCCTTCCGAACGTATCGCGAACCGGGAAAAAAAACCGGAAAAATCGGAAGATAGCGCATAGTCGAGGAATTCAAAAAAATCAAAATTTTCGAACGAAAAGGGATAAGGAAAAAAAAAGAAAGACGCTATCTTTGAGTCCGACGTCCGGACTTTCTCACGCAAAAATCGTCAGGTTCATAGCTCCTTTATCTTCGGAGGAGATCGATGTTGAACGTCGAACAACATGAAAATCTACCGGTTTTTTCGACTTTACCGGCCATTTTCGAACTGTTTTCTTGCTCTCACCGCACCGGCTCTCGCTCCCCCGTAAAGCGCCGAGTTTCTAGTTTCCGCAACGGTATCGCTTTCCTTCCGAACGTATCGCGAACCGGGAAAAAAAACCGGAAAAATCGGAAGATAGCGCATAGTCGAGGAATTCAAAAAAATCAAAATTTTCGAACGAAAAGGGATAAGGAAAAAAAAGAAAGACGCTATCTTTGAGTCCGACGTCCGGACTTTCTCACGCAAAAATCGTCAGGTTCATAGCTCCTTTATCTTCGGAGGAGATCGATGTTGAACGTCGAACAACATGAAAATCTACCGGTTTTTTCGACTTTACCGGCCATTTTCGAACTGTTTTCTTGCTCTCACCGCACCGGCTCTCGCTCCCCCGTAAAGCGCCGAGTTTCTAGTTTCCGCAACGGTATCGCTTTCCTTCCGAACGTATCGCGAACCGGGAAAAAAAACCGGAAAAATCGGAAGATAGCGCATAGTCGAGGAATTCAAAAAAATCAAAATTTTCGAACGAAAAGGGATAAGGAAAAAAAAGAAAGACGCTATCTTTGAGTCCGACGTCCGGACTTTCTCACGCAAAAATCGTCAGGTTCATAGCTCCTTTATCTTCGGAGGAGATCGATGTTGAACGTCGAACAACATGAAAATCTACCGGTTTTTTCGACTTTACCGGCCATTTTCGAACTGTTTTCTTGCTCTCACCGCACCGGCTCTCGCTCCCCCGTAAAGCGCCGAGTTTCTAGTTTCCGCAACGGTATCGCTTTCCTTCCGAACGTATCGCGAACCGGGAAAAAAAACCGGAAAAATCGGAAGATAGCGCATAGTCGAGGAATTCCAAAAATTAAAATTTTCGAACGAAAAGGGATAAAGAAAAAAAAGAAAAACGCTATCTTTGAGTCCGACGTCCGGGCTTTCTCACGCAAAGATCGTCAGGTTCGTAGCTCCTTTATCTTCGGAGGAGATCGATGTAGAACGTCGAACAGCACGGATATCTCACCGTTTTTTCAACTTTACCGGCCATTTTCGATCGCGTTTGTTCCTCCTGCCGCGACGGCTCTCGCTCGACCATAAAGCGCCGAGATTCTAGTTTCCGAAACGGTATCGCTTTCCTTCCGAACGTATCGCGAACCGGGAAAAAAAACCGGAAAAATCGGAAGATAGCGCATAGTCGAGGAATTCAAAAAAATCAAAATTTTCGAACGAAAAGGGATAAGGAAAAAAAAGAAAGACGCTATCTTTGAGTCCGACGTCCGGACTTTCTCACGCAAAAATCGTCAGGTTCATAGCTCCTTTATCTTCGGAGGAGATCGATGTTGAACGTCGAACAACATGAAAATCTACCGGTTTTTTCGACTTTACCGGCCATTTTCGAACTGTTTTCTTGCTCTCACCGCACCGGCTCTCGCTCCCCCGTAAAGCGCCGAGTTTCTAGTTTCCGCAACGGTATCGCTTTCCTTCCGAACGTATCGCGAACCGGGAAAAAAAACCGGAAAAATCGGAAGATAGCGCATAGTCGAGGAATTCAAAAAAATCAAAATTTTCGAACGAAAAGGGATAAGGAAAAAAAAGAAAGACGCTATCTTTGAGTCCGACGTCCGGACTTTCTCACGCAAAAATCGTCAGGTTCATAGCTCCTTTATCTTCGGAGGAGATCGATGTTGAACGTCGAACAACATGAAAATCTACCGGTTTTTTCGACTTTACCGGCCATTTTCGAACTGTTTTCTTGCTCTCACCGCACCGGCTCTCGCTCCCCCGTAAAGCGCCGAGTTTCTAGTTTCCGCAACGGTATCGCTTTCCTTCCGAACGTATCGCGAACCGGGAAAAAAAACCGGAAAAATCGGAAGATAGCGCATAGTCGAGGAATTCCAAAAATTAAAATTTTCGAACGAAAGGGATAAGGAAAAAAAAAGAAAGACGCTATCTTTGAGTCCGACGTCCGGGCTTTCTCACGCAAAAATCGTCAGGTTCGTAGCTCCTTTATCTTCGGAGGAGATCGATGTTGAACGTCGAACAGCACGAAAATCTACCGGTTTTTTTCGACTTTACCGGCCATTTTCGAACTGGTTTCTTGCTCTCACCGCACCGGCTCTCGCTCCCCCGTAAAGCGCCGAGCTTTTAGTTTCCGGAACGGTATCGCTTTCCTTCCGAACGTTTCGCAAACCCGGAAAAATTGGAAAAATCGGAAGATAGCGCATAGTCGAGGAATTCAAAAAAATCGAAATTTTCGAACGAAAAGCGATAAAGAAAAAAAGAAAGACGCTATCTTTGAGTCCGACGTCCGGGCTTTCTCACGAAAAAATCGTCAGGTTCATAGCTCCTTTATCTTCGGAGGAGATCGATGTTGAACGTCGAACAACATGAAAATCTACCGGTTTTTTCGACTTTACCGGCCATTTTCGAACTGTTTTCTTGCTCTCACCGCACCGGCTCTCGCTCCCCCGTAAAGCGCCGAGTTTCTAGTTTCCGCAACGGTATCGCTTTCCTTCCGAACGTATCGCGAACCGGGAAAAAAACCGGAAAAATCGGAAGATAGCGCATAGTCGAGGAATTCAAAAAAATCGAAATTTTCGAACGAAAAGGGATACAGAAAAAATGAAAGACGCTATCTTTGAGTCCAACTTTCGGGCTTTCTCACGCAAAAACTGTCAGGTTCGTAGCTCCTTTATCTTCGGAGGAGATCGATGTTGAACGTCGAACAGCACGAAAATCTACCGGTTTTTTTCGACTTTACCGGCCATTTTCGAACTGTTTTCTTGCTCTCACCGTACCGGCTCTCGCTCCCCCGTAAAACGCCGAGTTTCTAGTTTCCGAAACGGTATCGCTTTCCTTCCGAACGTTTCGCGAACCGGGAAAAAAACCGGAAAAATCGGAAGATAGCGCATAGTCGAGGAATTCGAAAAAATCGAAATTTTCGAACGAAAAGGGATAAAGAAAAAAAGAAAAACGCTATCTTTGAGTCCGACGTCCGGGCTTTCTCACGCAAAGATCGTCAGGTTCGTAGCTCCTTTATCTTCGGAGGAGATCGATGTAGAACGTCGAACAGCACGGATATCTCACCGTTTTTTCAACTTTACCGGCCATTTTCGATCGCGTTTGTTCCTCCTGCCGCGACGGCTCTCGCTCGACCATAAAGCGCCGAGATTCTAGTTTCCGAAACGGTATCGCTTTCCTTCCGAACGTTTCGCGAACCCGGAAAAAACCGGAAAAATCGGAAGATAGCGCATAGTCGAGGAATTCAAAAAAATCGAAATTTTCGAACGAAAAGGGATAAAGAAAAAAAAAGAAAGACGCTATCTTTGAGTCCGACGTCCGGGCTTTCTCACGCAAAAATCGTCAGGCTCGTAGCTCCTTTATCTTCGGAGGAGATCGATGTTGAACGTCGAACAGCACGAAAATCTACCGGTTTTTTCGACTTTACCGGCCATTTTCGAACTGGTTTCTTGCTCTCACCGCACCGGCTCTCGCTCCCCCGTAAAGCGCCGAGTTTCTAGTTTCCGATACGGTATCGCTTTCCTTCCGAACGTTTCGCGAACCGGGAAAAAACCGGAAAACCGCGTCGATGTCGACCGTTTGGATCTGCTCTCTAAATCCAAATCCTACCTAAAAACAAAAGATCACTCGTTAATATAGTCGACGAGACCGATCTCGAGTCGATATTTCGATAAACGGCGAAACGAGTGTGAAATAACTCCGCGTACCGCGCGAAAAACCGCCGATTTTTCGACTTTACCGGCCGTTTTCGATCCGATTCGTTCCTCTTACCGCGACGGCTCTCGCTCCCCAGTAAAGCGCCGAGTTTCTAGTTTCCGAAACGGTATCGCTTTCCTTCCAAACATTTCGCAAGCCGGGAATAAAACCGGAAAAACCGCGTCGACGTCATACGACAATTTCCCAACTCCTACCAATGCCTACCAAACCAAACAATCGATCACCGCTTAATATAGTCGATTATCTCCTGATTTGAAAATAGGTGTCGCTCTAGAAAGTTTCCAAATATCAGGGAATGTGTTGGTTTCTATAGTCAGATTGTATATTTTTAATAACGGCTTAACAACGACATGAATACAATCTTTGACTATGAACGAGGGGATGTTGTCTGGGCCGGCCGTTACTCTATTCTTGAGTTTTTTAGATGCAGCAATAATCTCATTTTCATGAATGTCATTGAAAAATATGTTAACCTGACTAGTAGGATTCCTGCCTTCAATAAAATCATTACGAGCAGATGGATCAACAAAAACACTGTTAAAAAAATCTGCAAGTGCATTGACAGCACAGTAAGGATCGTTCAGTGAGACGTCATTCAACTTCATTTTACGAGTAGTCAGATTTTTTGCATGCATAAAACTCCAAAAATGTTTAGGATCTTGAGAGATGGAAATCTCAACATTACGTGTATAATTTTTATAGGCCACAGATATTTGACGTTTGTACTGTTCATGTAGATGGTTATTGTGACTCTTTTTGTACTTCTTGTATAACTTTGCTTTATGCTTGACTGCTGTACCACGAAGGGTACTTAATGGTAATGCCAAATTTTGAGGCCTGACTCAGGAAATCGATCTTGACAACGAGATATTCAATAAGATCATCCCAGTTATGGTCGGGAAGAGAGCGAAGAAGGCAGCGAATAAATTTTGCGGATGTTTAGGAGTTGGGGCGAAGACACAGAATTTCCTTCCGGCCTGAATGAACTAAACGTCTCTGGAGCAGGAAAGATTGCGGCGGACTAAAGCTGCAACTCGTTCTTTCTCAGATTGGAGTGCACCTCAGTATTTGAGAAGCCAGGATGCAGAATCTCCGCCAAGAAAAACATGGTGGATTGCAGGCAGTGATAAACAATGTTGCAACATGATGAATTTCTAGATCGCAACGTTGTCAAATCAGTGGGGACCAGGAACATTTTGTTATACATATTCAAAGAACACTTTCCTCACAGATGTGCCGAACTTAAACCTTCATGAACTACTGACAGCGTTGTATGATGTTTTTTTGGTTTTATTTGGTATCGCTGACGATCTTACCGCTTTATCAGGACTCCAGCAGAAGCTGTCCTCTTCCTCGTCCTCTTCTTCCTCCTCGTCCAGCCGTTCGCTCAGCCGGGAATACCCGACGTTGCCCGAACAGGAGCACTTGCCGCGAGGGAAGCGGCATTCTGGAACAAAACGAGAAAAAAGTGAAAAAACGAACGCGGCGTAATAAATGCCGAGAATAATTAAATTTCATTCTATGCGGAGATGAAAGGGCCGATAGCGGAGGTGATGATAATGAGATTTGATTGTGGACCCATGAGAAATGCATATAATGAACTGAATGTGAAGCTCCTTCGGAGTATAGAGGCTAGACGACAGATTCTCAAACCGATTTCATCTACGAGACCCTTCCGACTTCGGTTGGCCCAACTATTGAAATCTCAGTTTTTTTCTTATCAAACACAAATAATAAAAATGTAGCAGGGTGTTATAGGTTTAGAATATTAACAATGAATATTTTGATAATATACAGGGTGTCCGCAAAGTTGGGGTTTTCCTTTACACGACGTGTAGATCTTGAAAACATAAGCAATTTTTCTAAGTACCATATAACACCAATGTCTTAAGGGAACCGAGATAAAGGGCTCTGCAACATCAAATATATCTGAATACCGTCCTGTAGCCGCGACCGATTGGTACAAGGTCACTGGCTCAACCCGACGACAGAACTGGGTCGGGGTCAGTGTGTCAGGTCAGTATGCAACCTTCAACCGACGGTTACGGTCACGCGTGTAGAGGTAATCGCGTATACGAGAGTCCCTCAACAAACACTAGAGACGTGGCTAGAAAAGTGCAAGTATCAAAAACTAAAGTGTGGCAAACGCTGCGTGAAGAGGGGCTGTATCCGTTTCACGTCCAACGTGTACAAGCCCTTCAACCTGACGATTTTCCAGCAAGAGTGCGGTTTTGTGAGTGGTTTTTGCATCAACATGACAATAATCCGGACTTTTTGAAGTGCATATTGGTGACAGACGAATCTACGTTCACGCGTAATGGGGTGAGTAACTTTCGCAACACTCATGTTTGGTCAGTAGAAAATCCGCACGCTGTCCGTCGGGCACATTTTCAACAAACATTTTCGGTGAATGTTTGGGCTGGCATGGTGAACGGTATGCTCATTGGACCATTTATTCTCCCAAATCGATTGGACGGGATGCAATACCTAGACTTTTTACGCAACATTTTGCCTTCCTTGTTAGAAGATGTGCCATTAAGTGTAAGACAATCCATGTGGTTTCTGCGTCTGCTCGGTAGCGCATCAGCTGATTTCATTTTCTGTTGGAGCGGTATGATTTCGGGCAGAGACGTACTTAGCCCTTCTCGACAACTTGAGAGTGAGTACTTTTTCCTTTATTTTTTTTTACTTGGTCGCCCGCGTTTCACTACACATTATCTTTGTTATTTCAAGGGTAGTTGTTTCTGAAAAAGAAAACCCCAACTTTGCGGACACCCTGTATAGTAGAAAACACCAACTTTATCACTCCCTAATCAAATTTGCAGCATAAAAATAACACATGTTGCAATTACAGCATATCAACCTATTTTCATTTCAATGCAAAATAAGAGCCGTTTTACACACAACAGAATTACTCCGAAAATTATGGTCATAATTATGCCGAAAATTTGCATGGGAAAAATATTGAAGATTTTCTCTACAACCTGTATGACACAAGCAAACAAAATCTCCGAGTTACGCCTGCGCATTAGAGTAATATTTTCGAATATTTCGAAAGGACATGACCCTAACGGGTATGACGTCCAATATAATCGGAAAGACAACAGACGTCGTTGATTTAAATTTATTTTTGAAATCGACATCTTGGTCAATATTACACCTTGTACAGTTTGGCCATTTTTGGTACTCCTCCAACAACAGTGTAACTTCTTCCCGATTTCACGACATGATGAATAAACAATAACAATAAACGCTTCTTCGTACGACTCGAACAGGACCACACCCATAAATGTTAAGTGAGGTTATGTTGTTGACGTTGACATTTGATATTGACATGCACGGAAATAACCCTCTGCGCCGATTCTCGCGCATATTCTATAGAACGGGTTTTATATTTTTACCATGAAAGTTTTCACAAGAATTCTTTTACGTGTAATACGACAGCAAACATTTTCCGCATAATTATGACCATAATTTTCGGAGTAATTCTCTTGTGTGTAAAACGGCTCTAACTCTATAACGCATATGTGGCTGTGAAAAATAAAAGCCATGACAATTGTTTTATGTCATCAAAAGGAGTAGGAAAACTTCATTTTATTGATGGAAATGTGGATACAAACAAAATATTTGGCAATTTTAGAAGAATCGCTTTTAGCAGTGATGGAAGAATGTTTGACATCCGGCCAAGATTTTGTGTTTCAGCAAGATGGTGCAGCGTGCCATACCTCAAAAAAGGCTATAAAATGGATGGAAGAAAATAATGTACCACTTTTGAAATGGGTTTCTAGCAGTCCAGATCTGTCACCTATTGAAACTTTGTGGCACGAGATAAAAAAGGTTCTACGTCAACATCCTGCTCGTACAATCACCGAACTGAGGCAAAAGCTTCAGGAAATATGGGATTGTTCTACACCAAATTTTTACCAAAACTTGGTTAACACTATGCCCCAAAGAATTTCGGCCGTAATAAAAAATAAAGGTGATGTTACCCAGTGGTAATCTTTCAATTGTTGCTTTTTTACGACTAGAGTGTATCTAAAACGTTTTTGAGAGAATAAATTGTTTTAGAAGTAAATAGTTTCGTCATGTTTAGTTTATAAAGGCATATTTTGGTACAAATCTTGAAGTGGGCCAACTGAAGTGGGAAGGGGCTCGTATACTGAGTGAGAAAAAAATGTAAACGCCTATGTTTATTCGATTTTAGTAATTTTTGGCGGTATGTTTAGCGTCCCTTACATTTTTTTCCACTCAGTATATAGATGAAGTTATACACTTACTCGCAATTTTCGCCATCCTTCTCATCATCGTACAACATTTCCCGCACTATAAACACCTCGCGATCACTGTCAAAGCTGAACGGACACTGATTTTTTTCGATGCGATGCGACCAGAACCGTGTTGTTATTTAATCACGCTCAATCAAAATTCTATGATAAAGATTACCTTGCTCTATCTTACTTACTTGATTAAAGAAAACAAGTGTCAAAGTTAGGTCTTAAAAAGACGTATTTAACTTTTTCTAAGTATACTAAGTGACATATAAATCCGAACACCCAGTTTAAATGGTTTTATTTTAATAAAAGTTGGTGAATGTATTTATCTTACTGTCAAAAAATTTTCAGCCATATCAGTTGGACATTCCGGTTTTTATACTGCTTTTTTTTAATTCACTAACGCTCTAAAAATGAATATTTCAGCCGCAGTAAAGAATTAACGTTGGCGGATTTTGGATCTTGATATCCTTTACGATCGGTTACGATGCCTAGAGTACGGAGACCTGTACGATTTCGTCAACTTAGTGAGTTTGATAGGGGCCGTATAGTGGGACTTCGGGAAGCTGGACTTTCTGTTCGGGCAATTGCAGTTAGAGTGCAAAGAAGTGTAGTCACTGTGGTTAGGTGTTGCCAGGCATGGCTTCGAGAAGGCCGTACGCAAAGAGCAAGGGGCACTGGACGCCGCCGTAGAACAACAGACCGTGAAGATCGCCGCCTAAGATTATTGGCCTTAAGGGACCGTTTCTCCACTACCAGGTCCATTGCAAATGAATGGTTTGCAGAACACGGAAGACCTATTGGCATGCGAAGTGTTTACCGACGAATGAGAAGTTTTGGCTTGTTTTCATACCGGCCACACTGGGTCCTCCCTTTAACTCGAGAACACCGACGTAATCGCCTTGAGTGGTGCAGACTACGGTCACTCTGGGATCAGGAATGGAACAGTATTGTCTTTAGTGACGAGTCTCGATTTTGTTTAGGCATGCACGATGGTCGTGCCAGGGTTAGAAGGCGACGTGGTGAAAGGAGGAATCCACAGTTTTTTGTTGAAAGACATGTTCATCACACTGTTGGAGTTATGGTTTGGGGTGCTATAGCTTATGGTTCCAGGTCACCTTTAATCTTCATCAGAGGTAACATGAACGCGCAGCGTTATATCCACTAAGTTCTAGAACCCCATCTTTTACCCTATCTTGAAACCCTGGCAGATCCAACTTTCCAACAAGATAATGCCCGACCACATGTTGCAAGAATCACAATATACTTCTTTCAACATAATGATGTCACATTGTTACCATGGCCACCAAGATCTCCCGACTTATCCCCAATTGAGCACGTGTGGGATATGATGGGTTGGAGATTGCTCAATTTGCAACGTCCTCCTCAGACTCTAGAAGCACTTCGAGAGGAGTTGGTGATAGCCTGGAATAAGATACCACAGGAGGACATTGACCACCTGATCAGAAGCATGCCTAGGCGCGTTGGAGAATGCGTAGCACATCAGGGTGCATCCACACATTATTAAAGGTCAAAGGGCTTTAAAGCAGTGCAATCATTTTGAAATTTTTATCATTTACTTATTTTGCTTCATTAAGTACTTATACAAAATTTTATTAAAATAAAACCATTTAAACTGGGTGTTCGGATTTATATGTCACTTAGTATATTTTTAAAATTTCGTTTTCCCACGAGTCTTACTTAAGGTAACCTGATTTGTCTTAAAAACATGTATTTAGAGCTGAAATATCGTTTACCTCTCAATCAGATAGTTTTGATTAACTTAATGATGATTTTTAATAATTTAAACTAACTCTCCTATTACGCAACTTTTATATAAGTGATTTTTGTTATATCAACTTCTTTTGAAGAGTCCTACAAGCAGTTAAAATAAACGACTCAACTTTGAAAACACCCTGTATAGTTTGATATGCAGAGGTCGAAGATTCATCGTACATGAGTGAACCTACCACGATTAGATTTCGGCTTTTGAAACGATTGGACTCGTCCCTTTTCTTTGGGAGCTTCAACGAAATTGAAAGCACGGAAAACTCAAAGGCGTTTGAGGCTTGCGCTTTGAGATGACGTCACCGCATCAAAAACCGGGACGGTATTCTCTGGTTTCTGGGTAAGAGACTTGGCTCACTTTTGTGTGTACGTATCATTTCATCTTCGGCTTCAGTCGAAAAACTGACCTTCGACCGGACTCTAGAAACAAGGCAATCTCGATTTCACTGGAATTCCAAATAATTGAAATCGTTTACATATTCCACCGGGAAAACTATAAACTGGCACGTCAAAACATCGCGATAACGTATTGCATACATTTCTTAGGTTATAACTCGCGTTCTAAGAAACCGCATGGAACTACTGATATCCGTGGTCGGAAACCGATCCGACGGAAAAAGTGCTGATAAGGAAACCTTATCGAGACAATAGATTTTTTCGAGTGAGATAAAAGGTTATCGGGGCAGTGGGAAAATTTCATCGATCTATACTCAGTGACAAAAAAAGGTAAGGGGCCGTTCAAGTATTACGTGAGCACTATGGGGGGCGGGGGGAGGGGGGTCTTTGCTTTGCTTATTTTGGTTGACGTGGGGGGTAGGGGAGTCTAGATGATGATTACGTCTTCGGTAGTTATTTACTTTTTTCACGAATGGCAACCCTCACATTGTCTTCGCTTGAAAACGAAACGCATTTTCGGGGATTCCCGCAAATAATGCATACGTTAAGTGAACAGCGCGCGGTAATTCCCCTACTCGCTTTAGAATTTCCTCTATCAGTGTATTGTTTCGTTTGGATACTATAGCGAGTAGACGTATTGTAAGCATAGTAAGTTAACATTTGTGTGACCATTGATTCCATTAGGCAAAGTTTAATGTTTAAATAAGATGTCGTTTCACATAGACAAATCCAAGTTATACCAAAAATTGTTTGAAAGTTTTAAAAAATCTCATACAAGTACGAAAGTACAAAATGTACAAAAGTTAGTTAACGAAGTGTAGCGAAATTACAAAATTCAAGCAAAGTCCGACAAGGAACTAGATATTATCGTATCTAAGAGAATCGAAGAAGAATTGCAAGCTGTGACTAAGAATAAATCCAATCTACTAAATTTTTTTTCTAAGGTGAGTGACGAAATCATTTTAGGTACCTATGAGTACTAGGAATCTTAGAAATATCCAAAAAGTTTCGCTTTACTGATTAGAAAATATTATGGCCTATCTCAAAGTCTCGAGGTAATATTCATTATATTTATGATTTATCTTATGATTCAGTCCGTCAATTGGTCACAAAGTACAGGATGTTAGTTTTATACATATATACAGAAAACTAACACCCTGTATTTTGTGACCGGAACGAATTGCTCGTTTAAACATATTAGATTTAAAGCCATAGGGATTTGTATTTACCATATATATTGCCATACTTTGCATTTATGTAGCTTAATAAGAGAATCTTTAGCAGAAGCCATAGAAAGTTTTTATTTTTAGGCAACCTGTAAACCTGCGGAAAAAACACAAATTATACAGTCAGCTTCAAATATTAAAAAAGAGGAAGAAGATAAAATAAAACCCGGTAATGAATCACAACAGCAATGCGAAATTAATGAAAATACAGATAAACAGAGAGCAAAACCTTCTCAGTAAGCTATGAAAAATAAGATTGCTCTACTAGAAAAAATCTGAATGTTTTGTATTCTACCAGAGATACTACGCCAAGCCGTGCTGAAGTTGATAAACAGATCATTAAGTTGCGCGAGGAAATAAAAACAGCAAAACAGTCTTTAAACAGGAAGGTGTAAAACGCAGTTGGCCAGAAGAAACACAGGGATGGTATGAAAAGAAAGTTAGAAGATATTTGTCATGAAAATCCAGAAATAAAAAAAGACTATCTCTGAGGGATTCAGAGGGACGTCCTACAGTATATTCAGATAAGAGATAGACCGGATGTAAACAAAAGGTTCGGGTGATTTTCACGCTAACGCCGCCGTCTCGACGTAAAACAGGAGCCCTCATTGGTCAATTCGCAATTAAATGCCTATGCCGAGCGGCAGAGCAGTCGTATCAAGGCAGAGTCACATTCAGGTTCAGACGTGTTACGTATGTCGTGTGCATCATTGCAATTTGATATTTCTTTGGACGTTTTCGTTTGTTATCTTATTAAGTTGTTGAGCTTGTCGTTGTTATTGTTATACCTTGTTATTGATTGTTATTGTTATCAACTGCTTGCGCAAAATGCCCAGTAGTACAGATACTGCCGATGAAGTTGTAAACTCCTGTAGTCCACCTAGGAAACGCTCTAAAAAAAGACACCTGAGTGCAGAAATGAAAGAGGTCATTTTGAATATATATAAGATCGAGCGCGAGGAGAACGAGGCATCAACCATCAAAGAAATTGTTGTGAAGGTTTCTCACAAAGTTGGGGTGTGTCGCGCATCAGTGTTTAATGTGTTAAGACAATACAAAAAAAATCACACCTTTTCTGAGCCAATGACCAGTAAACATCGCAAAAGTATTGTTAAATCATTGGATGAAGCTGATAAGCATGCGATTAGGAGGAAAGTGCAGGAATTCTTCTTTGATGAATGAAATACCTACTATAGATAAAGTACTGCAGGAGGTAAATGGAGATACAACGTTGCCAAATTTCAAACGATCAACTTTCCATGCGTTACTGAAGCATTTAAATTTCAAATGGAAAAAACGGGGTCGTAATAGTTTACTACTGGATAGAGAAGAAATTGTGCTATGGAGGAGGGATTATTTAACAAAAATTGGGAAATATAGAAATCAAAACAAGAAGATTTATTACCTTGATGAAACATGGGTAAACGCAGGACACACTACAAGTAAAGTATGGGTTGATGATTCTGTAACTTCATCCAGGAGGGCCTTTCTAGATGGACTGTCCACCGGATTAAAAAATCCAGCAGGTAAATACGAGTAATAGACAACAATCGGATGTTTTTCAAACTTTGGGAACAAGGTTCTAAACATTAATTCCAGGGGGCAGATAAAACATATTACAAGTAACAAAACTTTTATAACTTTCGATAAAATGCGTGGATGTGTTATTGTCATTTTCATTTGTTAGAACTTTTTTAAGCCATGTTTTTATGTGTTTTCGATATTTCAATAATTTTTTAATATAATCTTAAA